CCTAGCATTTGATCCAAAGTTTAATAAAACGTGCCAGACCCCAAAGTGGTCACTTTAACATTAAAAAAAAAAAAATAAAATAAAAAAAGAATTATATATTTCTATCTGTAGCTATTGCTAATCTAACTAAACTAGAGACTCACTCTTGGTTTTCGCCTAGGTGTGACCTGCCTTAATAGTTCTTAGCCTTCCTCCAAATCCTTAACTCTTTAAGGATTTATTTTTTTTGGTCACAGACTGGTAACTATCTGCTATTTATATCTGTTTTAACTTTACATCTTACCCATGAAGACCAATCTGGTTTCTTACCACCCCACACTCAGTTTTTTATGTTTTTAAATGCTACTGCTCTTGCATGTTCTTTCTTCTTGTTTTTCTGCTTTCTTGTTTGTACTTGATTTTTTTTATTTTTCTCATCTTCTTTTTTCCTTTTCTTCTTTGTCTTGTTAGACTTTTTTGTCTTTTTATTCTTCTTTGAGATTCCTTCTTTTTTTTTTTACTCTATTTGTAGCTCACATCTAAAGTTTCAGATGTGTTGATAAAATCTCTTGCCTAATTTATTAAGTGCTACACTTATTATCTTGCTGACTACTTTTGCACTTTGAAGTATATTCTCTAATCTTTGTTTTTGGTCTTTTTTAATTAAACCTCTAATTATATGACATCTTGCTTCTATCTGTTTTGCATTAGATATGCCAAATATTTCATTTAATTGTAGCTCTAGTTGGTATTCTTTCAGTAAGTTCTTCTTTTTTTATGATTTTTCTATTTCATCACATGTTTCTTCTTCTATTATGCTCCATATGCTTTGATAGTTTTTGCAGCTTGTTAAATGCTCTATTGTTTCTAGTTTTTCTTATCAAGTAATATACTTGTTGGTCTTGTATAGGTCTGGCCTCCTTAATTTAAGCTCTATTATTGTTGGCAGTACTTTATTTAAATATTTCATCCTAAATGTCTATTTATTATTCGTTTTACTATTTAAACAATTATTATCCTTAACTTCTTTTATATACTATCGGCTCTCTCCAAACCGATCCTGTTAAAATCGATATCCTGCTATAATCGATTAAAAATCGATCCACCAGGTCTGTTCCTTAATTTATATCTGATAATTTGCCATATCTGATATCTGATAATCCAAATATATACGTTCCCGGTTCGTCGATCATAGTCACATGATAAACAGCCAATCATATTATGAATTATTAAGCTAAAGGTGAGATTGAAGATACAGTATTAACGAGAGCTACCTTGACAAGAAAATTGGCATATACAGATCGCACAGAGAAGTATAACTTCATTTATGTTATGCTACATTTATTACTTAATGAAAGATCACTAAAATTTTATTTTCAACAGCTTTTTTTCTTTATGTCGCTGTTACTGATAAGAGAATTCGTTGGTATAACCTTTTTTTTTTATCTTTGTCAATCTTATACACACCCTTTTTTTCTCAAAAAACTTCTTTCATCTAAATATTTAATAAAAAAAAAAAAAAAAAGAAAAAATAAAGACCGAAATCATCCTTTGATCAAGTGAAGTAATGATCTAAACTACGTTAGACTTGCTTTCTGGCCTTCTCTTTCCAAACCTCTTTGCGAATACAAGTTTGTAGCTTGCGTAAGGTTTTTAATGTTACTCCACCATCATCGATTCTTTCATTCATGATCCTCAAGGCGCCACGCAAAATATTCAATTGTTCTTCTTCAGTTAAGGTTGGCATTATGAATTCCTCCTCTACCTGCTCTACTTCCGTCGCAGTTTGGATCAAGTCTTCATCGGTAAATTGGTGGTGTGCTTCTTGTTCTTCTTCAATGTTTAGTAATTTTTCAATTGGCATTGGATTACGGACACATAATATATCTATTTGCTGCTAAAGTTCCTTAATAGTTAATTCATCATTTGGATCAAGAGATGGGTTTTCTTCTATATCATCAATGCTTTCAACAATAGTAGGAGAGGCGACAAGTACTCTATTTTCATCACGAGAAGATACAACTTTCATGCGGAACCAATATTTCCTAATCGTTTCAGCAGATACTTCTTTCCAGGCAATCTTTGTCCATTTCATAGCCTGCAATTAATACAAGTTTGTAAAAATTCTTCATACTTTTTTTTTAATAACTTTAACCTAAAATCCTAACCTGACTCTTAGAAAAAAAATAAAAATAAAAAATAATTATGATAAAAGGTTCTAAAAAATGAATTTAATTTCGGCTTAAGCACAACAAAAATTTTAGGTTTACTATTTTTCAACTTAACCAACCACTTTTTCATCATATTACTACCTGCAATTAATCGACTTTATATATGTCTTTCTTCCCGGCTTCGTCACGATTAATTGCATGTTGAAGTTGTAGGTGACGATATTGAAGTTTGAATGATGCGATAATATCAGCATCTATGGGCTAGATTTTTGATGTTGCATATGGAGGTAACATGAGCACTTTCACATTAGTCAAAGTAAGGGCACCAGTGACATGCGAGAGGCAACATCTAGGATAAGTAAAATGTGACAGTTTGATTCTCTCACTTCTTTGTCCAATTTTTCTATCCATTCTTGAAAAAACATGGCCGTCATCCATGCTTTTTTATTATTATGGTAATAGAATCCAAGTTTTTTCTCTATAAAAAAAAGTTTGTTTAGTTATTGTAGGCATTGTCTGAAAAAATATTCAGAATGGAGTTGAACTTCAATTTTTATACCGTGGTGTAAAAAAAAAAAAAAAAAAAATTTTTGGTTTGATAACATTACAGCTGTTATCATTATTCCAGGGACATCTTGTGAAAAATTATTGATTACGGTATGTTCAATGTAACGTTTATTATTTACAAAGATGGTCTAAAGCCAGGTACGTACGTACATATGTAGATGCTAACCGATGTAAAGCTTCAAATGACCTCTATTTATAGTGCAGCAGTGACAATTATTAATCAATAACCAATATTGATATAACTCTAGTCAAGTATTATACTTTAGAATTCATATTCACTAGAAAGAGGTATAAATTTGAACAACTGCTGTGTTAACAGATCCTCAATAAGTCAAGTTTTCACCCAATTTCAAAGATATGAATGCGTTGAGAGACTTCTGCCACTTGTAAGAAAATCACGTCTATTAAACCTGAATGATACAAAATATCTTAAGACTTTAATGGAAGAGAAGCCAAACTGAACTTGTATGAGTTACAATTTGAAATGGAACTTTAGTTAGGACATGAAAGTAGAGATTATTTGAAGCCTTGTAGTTTCACGTGAATTTAATTTACAAATCGATTAGCACCTTCGTACATACCAAGCTTTAGACTGTCTTCGTAAATAATAAACATTACATTGATCATGCCGAAATTAATAATTTATCGAATCAGCAGAATAATCATTTGGTTAATTTTTCATAAGGTGTCCCAGGAATAATAACAAAATCAGTATATGTTCAGAAAATCGACTTCATTCCAAACATTTTTTTGAACAAAAACGAAATAATTTTTTAAAAAGTTTTTAGAATATTGTTGACAAAATTTTTTTATAGGTTTCACATATTTTTTTTTTTGAAACATCTAGATTGTTTGGAATGCTCAATAATAAAAGGTTGAAGTTTATAGGAGCCATCTGTATTGGCTGTAAATGCAATCGTGATTCTTGTGCAATTTTTTTTTGACTCTTCAATCTGGCGAGATGCAATTGTACGGTCAGGTGCCATAGCATAAAACAAACCTGTCCTGTCCATATTGTAAATGTTACGAAGAGAATACAGGTCAGTGGTATTAATAATATTAGGAAGGTTTAGGTTTATAGCAGCAATATCAGCAGAACTACTCTTGCCGTGCAATCTAAAGTAACAAAAATTGTGCCGTTCTTAAAAAGCCTATAACCACCCATTTGAAAATTCAGGCTGATCATTTTCAGGAATTTTTATCATATCTGCTAATTTTTTTCCTTTAGCCTTAATCATGTCTCTATTTAAACATACAGCCCTATGTTCACATTGTAATACCCAGTTCGCCAAGGCAACGTCTAGCTCAGAAAACATAACAATGCGACGTCTCTTAATCTCAAGGTTACTTGAAGACATTTCATTAAATTCATCTTTTCTTTTTAAAATATCAGAAATTGTACTTTGCCCCAGTGCTTTTACTAACTTAAACTCATTTTTGGCCCACTCTGCAAGTTCTTTCTGAGTAAGCATTAGATTTTTTTGGTGATGGTTGCATATCATTTTCCTTTAAACATTATGCAAATTTCCACCTAATAAGACTTTGTCTTTTTTTTTTCCTATTATAATGGCAGGTGTTGTAAGCGTGTATAATTCGAATAAACAAAAATTTAACTTACATTTAGAAAAATGATTTTTTATATGATGGCCTACAGTTGCATTAATCACAAGAAACAGGATTTCTTTTATTAATCCGATAAGCTCTTTTTTATTTATTTTATTTTATTTTAATTTTTTTTTTACAGTCTTTATTAAATACATTTTATTTATTTAAATTTATTTATTTATTTATTTTTTTTAATCAAGATTTCGCGTAAAAAGCATTAATTTGATCCTTTTAATTGACCTGCCTTAAAAGATTCGTGTCGATCTTAATTATCTTAATCATTGTAGTATGATATGCACTATATATTAGAACATATAAGCTTTAGAAAATATGTTGTGTTGAAATGAAGAACAAGATGATTTACCATAAAAACTCGAAATAACGAGCATCTGTGCGTTATTTTGACCATCTGCGCGTTATTTCGAGTACGCCCATGGGCGTTATTTTTAATCAAGTGTCTAGTTTCAAAATCTCTAAAATTTTTTCTTAATCATTTATAAAGGCTTCTATAGTGGTGGTGCGCGTTATTTCGCGATGCACACGGGCCGTTATTTTGAAACTATATATGTTGTTTTTAGGGATCGTGATTTTTAAATTAACGCTCATGCTCGTTATTTCAAGTTTTATGATATATCTCTATTAGGATGCCATACTTTTATGGTCATCCTGACTCACGATAAGAATTTTTTTTTGTTGGATTTGTAAAAATAGTTCAGGTGGGTCAAAAATAATGATTTTTTGTAAATTCCACCTTTGCCTTATCTAATGTGCTCTCTGATATTTTGAAATATTTGGACAATGCAGGTGCAATTGATTTCCGAAGCATTTGATTATATTATTTATTTTTTTATGAATTCGAAGCTAATTGAGAATTCTGATAACATTTTTAAGCATACTAACATGTTCTTGTTCAGGATCATATAATTTGGCTTATTGCTTCCCTTTATTTTAATCAGCTTCTTCTTTAAGTTAGTTCTACTGAACCAGTTTGGCGTAACAGATTTGCCTTACTTCACCAACAATCGTTTCATTGATAATTAGCTGACATTACGTTAAGTAACAATAATTATCTGTACTAATCAAATGCTTACCCTAACTCCTATATTACGTTGGATGAAGGAACTTTTGGTGAAATGACTGTTGGCGAAGTGAGCGAATAGATTAGTAGAGCAACTAAAATTTAGGGTCGATATAGTCCTGAAGCTATACTGATATTAAGCAATAATATCTGCCAAACTATACTATAGCAAAATCATCTGGGCGGCTTTACTTATGGGCTATCATTTTATTAGTAAAAATTTTGTGATTTTGGAAGAAATTTATCAATTCCGGCCTATCTGAAGTGAGCATTACTAAGCATAAATGTCCTCTTCAGGTTAAGATAAACAATAAAAAATGTCGGGGATGATGCTGAAATCAGATGATGCTGAAATTTGGGCCTTAATTTGAAAATATCAACCCTACTAAAGTCCACCTATACTTTTTTATTATAAACACTAACCCTAAATTCTAATCGAACTATGAAAAAAAAGCTAAACAAAATGTCTAAAAAAAATTTTATATTTTCATAATAAAATAAGTTTCAGCATCATCTCCGGCAAAAAATTAATTAAGGATGCGTATAAAAAACTTTCATAAAGTAGCTATGCAGTTAGACTGCATATATGCGCATAGCATTTTAAATATTTAGTGTTGCTGCAGAATCATATTAATTAGAGTACTACGTATTAGTTATTACTGAATAAATCTTGACAATTTGATTGGTAGATTAATATTTTATTGTTATGTGATATTTTTTAAAACCAATACCCTCTCAAAATCGATACAGAACCCGTCTACTATACTTACCGATTTTGGGAGGGCCGACAGTATTTCTATATTTCTCTCAAATCTAGACTATTATCTCTTTCCTTCTCTACCTATCTTTTCATTCTACTTAATCCTGCTCATTCTGCATCTAAAATTACTGTTGTGATACAGTTTACAAAACTTCTGATAGGCTTATTTACTATTAACTCTTTCCATCTAGATATAACATGTATTAGCTTGATCTATGGTAGCCGTACTTCGATGATCTTGTTCGACCTTGCACCTTCCTTTGCTAGCTTATCTGCCTCTTCATTTTCTTCTATTCTGCTGTATCCTTTCACTTTGTGCAGTTTAAACTTTAGTTACTTTCTTTTTCTTATATATTCTATTTGTCTTAAAATACTTCTGTTCTTCATTTTAAGGTAGCTATATATTTTCCTTATTTCTGCCATTTTTTAAACTGCTTGAATTGCTGTCTGGCTGTCTGTATATATCTTTATAAACGTTTCTTCTGGAAAGACTAAAAGCAAAATCAAGATTGTACCTAGCTTTGCTCTTGTTGATAAGGGCCAGCCTATTATAGCACAATTAAAATCTGCTACCTTTTTTAGCAGTCTTTCTTCTTGTATTTGTAGAATTCACTCTACTTCCATCTTGGTTTCACTTGCTGTTTCTTGCAGTTCTAGTAGTAAGCTATCAGTATATACTTCAAATATTTTGTACTTAATAATGTTCTCTGAAATTGCTGTTAGCTTCACTACTGCTTCTACTCTGTCTATACAGCTTTGTATTATTTTTTTAATAACAGAACCTATTTAGTTGATCTTTAGTATAGGTGGATATATATAATTATTATACAATTATAATATATATAACTTAACTATTTTGAACTAATTTATATAATTTTATAACACTCTTTCTGACGATCCCTTGGTCAACAACAAAATAAACCGAACTACAGAAAAAACGCTATAGGAAAG